AAAAAAGTGGTTTCGAAATATACATACAATACTTGTGGATCAGTCCATTTAGATAGACAGAGCTCTTCTATTAATTCTTCTTCATCTAAGATCTCCAGAATTGTTTCTTTGAAAACTTTAAGATCTGTTTCCAGTTCTGACAAGCTGAAGAAAGAACAGGCAAAAGGTCAAGTAATCCCCATCTCCACCAGCGCACGAAGGTAATCTCTAAGTGAGTTTGCCAGCCAGCACCCTCACCAGATGCAGTGGCCAGGGAGGACTTTCCTGCAGGGTTCTAAAAGCTCCTTCAAAAGATTCTCTACAGACCATACACTTAGCAGTGCAAGTGATCTGTCTGGGGATCGGTGAGGTGCAGACATACACTAAAAGGGATCCAGATGTGTTTTCTGGGTATATTTGTAAGTCAGAAAAAACAGGCACTATGTGAGCATGTAGCAAGTGCATATTTGCACTGTCTTTTTAGAGAGGCTAATACATGAAGGACCAGTGCACTAGTAATCTTAAAGCATACTATACATACAATAGTTAAAAAGCATAGTTCCAAAGGTTTATGTTATGGGGAATGTTTTCACATTATTTTGTTCTCTTAGGTATTACTTTGTTCTGTCAGATGCTATTTGAGAAGCACAACTGTACTTCTGACAACTCAGAATATATTTCCCGTTTCCCTTATATCAATAGGTATTTCATATACAAATTCTTACACTTACAAACAAGATGCACAACCCAGCATTACAGTAACCTGGGAAATTAATACGAGATACCATTTTTCTAACATTTCAATGCATGTCATTTTCTATTGTCATCTTCTAGACTCTTTACAGCTTAATCTTATTTACCTCTTGCCATTCTGCAGGAGAATGTGTAGTTTACTCCTATCCACAGATAAAAGCTTGGGGTCCACTAGAGCTTCCAGTGTCTCAAGGATCTGAGGCTGCAAAGTGTTAAGTCTCCCCTGCAGTTTGCTGATCTAGATAACAACATGATCCTTCATAAGAATTAAAACAATTCATTTAGAATGACTTGGGCAACTGACTCCTGTCTCTCAACACAGAATTTACAGTAACAGGTAGTTAATACAGCCTGCTTTCCAATACCTGGGAAATACTTGCTATATGGATACCACTTTATAAGACAAAGCCAGTGTAAAATACAGTATTTAATAAAAAGTGAACTGAAACCCAGTGACAACCACACCAATAAAGCTGATAAAGCTAATACACTATTGTCTAGAAATGTCATATTAGCATTAGCAAGCACAGATTTTTCACAATAGCTAGGAATCATCATCTGACTCGTGCTCAAGAGGCCAAAAACCTCAGCACTTTTGTGTGACTTCCATTTCAGCTACAGCACATCTCTAGAATGGAACTCTGACTTGTTTTTTAATTGTCCAAATCATGGTGAAGCCATCATATTCAATTAGCACTTTATTGTGAATGGAATGAAAACACACATACACACAAAACCATAAGAACTAAAGCAACAAAAGTCAAAACCAAAAAAGAGCTCATACAGGAAGTGCAGAATACATATACAAATGTGTATGTGTAAATATTAACACAAGACTAAAATCATACTGTCCCTTCTATGAAACAATAACTTTTGAAACAATTTAAATAAAAATGAGATAGCTCACCCAGTACTGCAGGATTGCTTCTATGGCTCGGAATTCAAAGGGCAGAGAATATGTAACTAGTTGACCTTCCCCAGCCAGCTGAGATGCTAGTTGACTGAGGAGCCAGTGTTCCAGACTCAAATTACGATAATCTAGTATCAGCAGAAACTCTGGTGTTATGACAGCCTTCAAGAACTGAAAAAGAAAGTACATGTAAGGAATGTGAAAAAAAGACTGAAAATTTCTCATAACTCTGTAGCACATTTTATATTTGGGCTTTGATAAAACCATTCTTCTGATGTCTTTTCAGGCACAAAAACAACAGAATCTCATACTAACAGCAAATGGGCTCAGACAGAGCACTGTTCCAGTGATTAAGAAGGGCTCCTCATAAGCCTTTACTTCTGTGACAATGTTAGTGATGATTCTCCTGTGCTTAACCAGGAAAGTGGTCATTAATATGTACCGTGGGTAAACTCGTACTCTTGACTGCAACACAGAGCTCCAAAGACACATTTACTGCTGGACTGCATGTCACAGGAAGCTGGTATTAAAAGAACTGCGCAAGAAAATGAAAACGCAAGACAGGGTTTACACTCAGCTAGAGGGAAACCATTACCTCCATTCTCATGATGATTCTGTTGTTCCTAGTTGCAATGCTCATTACGTGCTGAAATCTCAGATCTCGTGCTTGAAGACCCAATTCCTGGTACAATTCTGTCTTCTTCTTTTCTATCATAAAAGTATTTTTAGAAGAAGACATTTAGAGGACAAGCATATATGTTCTGAAATTATATTTTAGTGTGTTACTAAGTCCCACCAAAAACAAACAAACAAAAAAAAAAGCTGTGCTATCTCTAAAACATTCCTCCCGCTGACTCCTCAACGTAAGTTATTTTCTACAAAGTTTAGAAGACTGTATCTTGAGTGGAAAAAGAAAAATTCTAGATATAAGTGAAAAAGTTGGCCGCAACAATTAATTTCATGTCAGAAATGAGTGACTCTTTTGAGAAAAAACGTGTAATTCCACAGGAAGGGAAAGATAAGGCCAAGAAAGTAGCATGCTGGTCAAAAAGGGAAAAGACAAAGCAAAAATTACCTTCCTGTAAGAGATGGTAATACATTATTTTTAAAATATTATTTAAAAGTACACAAAAATTTTAACAGTAAAGATGCTATGAAGACCCAATAGGAGGCAGCAAAACAGAGGAAATATTGCGACATCCCAAATGAACACAGTGAAGTATCCAAAACATAATTTTTTACTCCATGCAGATTCCCAATTGGGCTTTTCTGTATTGGACAAGGAAAAAAGGCAAACAAAACTCAAGCAAAACTACAATGAAAACTTACCAAAATAGGTAGTATTTCCCTCTTTGTCAAACTTCATCTGAAGGAATGGAAAAAAAAAAATTTTTTTCACAGGAACACTATAAATAAGAAATCGATTTCTAAAGTTATTTGCACTTCCCTAGAAGGACAATGGACAACACATTATTAAGAGAAAGCAACTTTTTATGCCCTCTATTCACAGTTCATCCCAATTAAGCAAAATATTGCACCAAATGGCCATATATTTCACTGTGTTTGTCACCAGTGTCACCTGCATTACCATGTTCCTACATAAACCTTGTTAAGGAGGTGATTTACAGAGGATCAGTCTTAGAATAGCATAGACTTTCTGCTGGAAGAGACCTACAGCAATCACAGAGTCCAACTACCTGACCACTTCAGGGCTGACCAAAAGTAAAAGCATGGTATAAAGGGGCAAACAGCTTTCAGTTTCATTTAAAAAAAAAAAAAAACATAGAGAGAGCTTGTTTTTCATCAAATCCTACGTTTAGTTAGAATTGCAGCTATCAAGACACAGGACAAATATTTCTAAAAGGCATTAGCAAGCCTTAACAATCTTTAACAAGACAACTTCTGACTGCAGCAGTTCCAAGAGCTGATCTGCCTTTGCAATTAAGAACCGGATGCTGGACCTTAGAAAAGCATCTTGATTGATACTGTGATACTGGTCCTCATGTCGGAGTACCTCAAACCAGCAATTTAGAACTCAAGGTGTTCTCCGAGACACAACTTCATCTGCTTTTATGACGCTTTAAGAGTTAAAAAAAAAAAAAAAGGAAAAAAAAAAGAGAAGAAAAAAAGGAAGGAAGGGAAAGAGCACCATCATCTTGCAATCTTGCACAAAGTGCCCTCGCAGGTGGAAATGCCTGCAGGAAGTACTTACCACTGCAAAAACAGGAGATACGCTGGCTAGGGTGGCCTGGGAGGTCTCTGTGGGGGCATGTTGGCATAGCTTACCTGGAGGAAGACAAGACAGCTCTACCCCCAGCACACCGCACTTCCCCCCTCGCGGCGCGGTGCCCTGCCCTCAGCCGCCGGCACCACGCACGGGCACACGAGTCGAGCAGCGCCGGCCACGACAAGGCCCCGACGAACCCGACATCCCCCAGGAGCGGGCGGGCATGGCCCGGCACCGCACCCAGCGCGGCCACCCCCGCTCTGCTTCCCCAGTGCCCGACCCGACCCCCTGCCCGCTCACCGGCCCAGCGCAGCCCGCGGGCGCCCGGCGGCACCGCCGCCACCGCCGCGGGCCGGTCCCTGTCCCAGGCGCGGCCCGGCGGCAGCCCCGGGGCGGCCCGCGGGAGGGACCCGCCGCCCGCCGCGCCCGCCCAGCCGCGGGTCCCGCAGCAGCAGCAGCCGCCGCCCAGGGCGCGGGGCAGCAGCGCGGCCCCCCGCAGCATCGGCCCCGCACCGCTCCGCTCCCAGCGCGCAACCGCGGCGAGGGCGGAGCCCGCAGGGTGACGGGTCACCGCTGCGCAGCCGGGGAGGAGCGGGGCCGGCTCCAGGATCGCCGGCTCCCGGATCGCCGGCTGGGGGCGGAGCCGGTGACGGGCGCCGAGTACCACCGACCCGCTGCTGCATTTACCTAAAGTATCCTGTTCCGCCTGTCGGCGCGCTGGAAGTTCGTAGCCGTTGTTTAATATTCGCACAAAACCGTGATCTGTGAAATCTGTGAAACCACCTCCTCACTCAGCCTGTGCTCAACCCCACTGAAATTAACTGGATTTTGTACATGATGATTTGTGAAAAAGGGGAGGGGGGGGGGGAAGTCCAAGAACCCCGTGAAGCTCGCCTGAGCTCCTCTAATAAGGTAGGTCCAAACTGAAGATTCGGTTAAATGGATAACTCCTTTCCAAGACGTGTTCTTAAAATCCCACCTCCAGCAGCCCTCGATAACGCGAGCACACCTCGCTGTAGCCGGGATTTTCCTTCCCGCGGCTGGGATTTTCCCTGCCGCATTCAGCCACTTCCTGAAGATTTTACTCGTAAAATGCGGTGGGTTTTTTTTCCAAATGCAGAACATTTTTTTTTTTTCAAGTGCAGAACAATTCTGTCCCCAGCAACGGTCTTGCAATTAAATTTCCTTGCCCTGCTTCTGTATCTAAAATAGAGACAAGCTAGTTGGTTGAGATCTAAAAGTTTAATTAGTAGCATACTAATAGCTTCTGCTGTTATATGTTCCTTTTAAACTGCAGCAAAAGGGTAATGCAGGTAGCAGGAATATCCTTCCTTTGGCTGGTTCTGCTGAACCGTGTAAATTGACATGGAGGCAAAGCCTGTATCCAAAGCCCTGCAGCGGGACTCGTTATCAGAATGTACTTACAGCACTCATTAATCCTTAGCAGGGAAATAAAAAAGGAAGTGATTACGCTGCTAATGAAATGATCCGTACAATGTGGCTGCTCCAAGAGGAGGGTGCAAGTCTAAACACTGCCTGGAACACAGGTCAGAGTTTTGAAGACAAGGGTGTCAGGGCCAAATAGTGTTCTCAGCTGGGCTGTTAGTTAAAGTTAAGTCACCCAAGGGCCAACACTGTCCTCTCTGTTCCTTTACCACATCACCTGTGCATTTGTCTTATTGTTTGCACGTACATACCTTAACATACATAGATGACCCAGGTTTTTGGGGTCAAAGTGGACTGACGTACAGAATCAGAAGGGTGGTGTACGCACACCTTCCACAAAGATGAATGACCTCACAAGGAATTAATTAAATAAAAAAGTTCCTCACTAGTTATACATACCCTGTATGTGTTGACTGAAGCCATCAGAGGTTTTCAGTTTCAGGGTAACCATGCCTGTCTGCAAATGTTGGCTGAAGAGGCCGAAATCCACTTAGAGTATTCTAGCTCTAGTTTTGGTTAATCTCAGCAGGTGGCAATATGTGCAACACTAATGTAAGACTCTTAGATGTCAGAGATACTTAAAATTTGGAAATACCAGACAGCACAGAAAATACCTCAGGAGGGCAGGAAACAAATACATACCATTGCTGGCAACTCATTGCAGCCTATGTTGGTTCTTCATATTAGAATGCAAAAACTAGAGAAGCATCTGAAGGATATCTGCCAGAAATTTACATTTAATGAATGTGCAGGAATGTGCTCACACAGCTGACATGTCATACCCCTCAATAAAAAAGGGAAAAGCTACTGGATCTGTTGTTCTGGCTTGCTAAGTGTTGGAAATAAGATGATGTAACTTCACACTGAATATATATTGATACAAACTCTGGTATGTATGATACAATAGGCCAGTGTACCAGGAGGCATTGGTGTTGTATCTCATTATAGCTGCATTATCAGTCACTATTGCAACTATCTGGAAGGGCAGACAATAACCAAGTATCACCTCTGTCTTTAGAGGTGAAGGCAGCACGTGGTGTGAACTGGCAGCCAGGGACAAGTTCTGAAGCACAGACAGAATGTCTGATTTTATACTACTGCTGACAAAAGATAACTGGAGATCTAGAACTGCCGTCTAGTTATTGCAGCTCTAAATACCAACAAACAGCTTGTTGCTTCTGCTGTAGGCACATGTCAGGTATCCAGTCTGTCCTGCAGTGCCAGCCTTTGGGAGTGGTTTGCTGTATTTCATAAAAAAAAAATCAAAACCAAAAACAACAACAACAACAAAAACCCAAAACCCAAACAAACGAACAAACAAACAAACAAACAAACCAAAACAAAAAAAACCACCTTGGTCAAGCTCATGTACTCTTTGTTGAAGAAGCTCACTGACACAAACTGGCATGATGGCTGTTCTTTATTTAGCCAAAATGCAAGGACAGCTCCAGCACAGATGGGCTTAGTCATGGAACTGCCATCCAAAACACATCCCCCAACATGTGCTTGTTATGTGACCTCAGGGGATCCTGACACACGACCTGACAGACGTGGTGTCATGCACCAACCTCATGTAAGATGAGAAGCCTGACATCACTCCATCATAAAGAGGTTATGTGTCTCTGCCTTCAGCAGCTCTCCTTACTGTTGAGAATGTGATAGGAGATAGCTTAGAAACTGAAACAATATAGAAGAAATAAAAGGTCAGACCCTGGAAAGGCTAGGACAAGCAGATTGTCATGGATCAAGGCACTGCTATCATGGGCTGAAGTATCTGACCTTTTCTTAGCTTTCGGGCAGTGGGTGTACTTAGGCGAGATGGAAAACATGCTGACTTTGTACTGTATTGGAAACACTCCATTTTGATTTGGTTTGTTCCTATTACTGAAGAAAATAATATGTTTCATTCTGAAAAGACTGGTGTGAAATAGTGGGCACTGTCCAGCGGTGGGCTGGACAGTCACATTGCCTTTCAGGGGCTGGATTTGAAGGTATTGCCTTAAGGGTAAGAAAATGATGAAATTCCACTGCAGCATGAGTAAAGGGGTAGAGAGCAGAAATGCAAGCAACTGGATTTGAAAGACGAGGTCTTTAGAGGTACAGCTCTTAACTATGTAAAAGTTAAACCATGGGCAAAATTCTGCATTGCAGTTTTTCAAGGGATTCATAATATTCCCCCAGTTTTAGACAAAGATTTTGTCCACCAGTTCTAGGCTGTTTTAAGGCTAGCAGTGCTCTGATACCACTTCAGGGATATTTTATTGCAATCCATAAAGTGACTGTAACTAGTGTGGCCATAGGTAAAGACCAACAGTATTTTTGAGTAGCACAAGTGTGGGTGCACGAGTAAAATATTCAGTGTCTTACACTTATGTCAAAAATGTTGAGTGATTGCAAATTAGGCCTCAGATCACCAAATGTGGTAGAATCTGGCACAAAATAGCAGATAGTTGACATATCACTGCTTCAATGCAGTATGAAGGTCATGAGCATTTTTCTTTTTTGCACGGAAGCATATATTGAATAACAAAAATTTAATTTCAGGTAGCAATAGATCGATGTTAAACAGTATTAATTCGAGGATAGTAAATGTTTGGTTCTTAACTTTATCATTTAGAAGGAAATCAGCAGCAAGCAGAGAAATTTCGCTGTTAACCAGTAATAGTAGCATATTTGACTTCCCTCACCCTGAAATTGCTCTTTTTGTAATGGTTAACTGCTCTGTTGTAACTCACAGCAGGGGGGGTAATTTTCCCATTAAAGGAGGCAAGATAAAAGGAAAGAAAATTCCTTCCATCACACGTGTTAGAACCCATTTGGAAGAACAATCATTACAGTACACTAAACAATTCCAGGTAGGAAGGTCTAGTCCGGTTTTAGAACTTCGGACTATCATCGGAGGAAAGAGGTTGTTAAAGGAATTATATATGAATGTAAGGCATTTTCTGTTTTAGTTTCTCTCAGGTTTTACGGCTTCTTGCACCCACGGTGCGCCAAAATCCAGTGAAAGCGATGAGCCGGCTCGGCGTTTCCCCGCTGCCGCCGGTTCCCCGCTCAGGGCGGCTCGGCCGCCGGCCCTTCCCTTGTAGGGGACGGGCGGCGGTCGGGGAGAAGGAGGCAGAGCCGGTATTTCCCTTCCTCCCTCGATCTCGTGGTCCCGTTCCCTCTGCCCCCGTCGCACCGCGCCCCTCTGCCTGTCTCTGGGCACGCCGCCCCCTGGCCCTTTTTCCCCCGGTGGCCCCGGGTCACACGCGGGATAAAGTTTCCCGTGGAAACTAGAGTGGTAGCGCTTTCCGTGACGGCAGCACCGGAGGATAAAGACCCTGGGAGGCCGCGGGTCCCCGGCAGTCCGTGTCCCTGCTGCGCCGGGTCGGTTTCCACGCCGCGTTTTTCCGCCTGGGTTGGTGTTCTCCGCGTTCACCTCCTCAGGCGCCCCGAGCAGCGAGCGCTGGTTGCCTGGGAGGAGCCGCTTTGACAGGCTGAGCAGAGCTGTGCCCGGGCCCCGGGGGTGCTGTGAGCCCTCCTCTGCTTCCCGGGAGGTGTGCCCATGTGCCTGGGCCCCGGCTGGGAGTTGTCAGGGCGAGAGGGGCGCCCGGGCAGGAACCCTCACCTGAACAAACAGGTGCAGGCAGCTCGTCCGTGTGGCTTGGGCTGCGCAGGAGATCTGAAGCCACCGAGCATGACTAGTCCTGGCACAAAGGGCTCCTGGCTCTCGCAGCCGACGGTGAAGAGCGTGCTGGTGTATCGCAACGGGGACCCTTTCTTCCCGGGGCGCCGTATTGTCATCCACGAGAAGAAAGTGTCCAACTTTGATGTATTCCTGAAAGAGGTGACAGGCGGGGTGAAGGCACCCTTTGGAGCTGTGCGGAACATCTATACCCCCCGGGGTGGGCATCGTGTCCGGCAACTGGAGGAGCTCCAGAGTGGAGAGCAGTATGTGGCTGGTGGCAGGGAAGCCTTCAAGAAACTCAAGTAAGTGGCTAAAAAGTAACGTAACATTTATGCAGAACTTGAATATCAGCATGTGGGGCTTGGCACCATGGCAATACTTCAGAGGGCCCCCCATCACATCCCTTTTATTAGGCATTGCAGAAAGAGAACATAAAGGCTATGACCCAAGGCAAAAGGAAAAGAGCTTTAGAGGTGAGCCACAGAAAGGCTGCTGATACCATCAGTCGCATATGCCATCTCCTTGACATGACAGTACAAAAGGAGAAACAGCTCTTTAACCTGCAGGACATGCAGCAATGGCACGTTGTTGTGATGCCTGTGCTTAACTGAAGGGCTGAGTATCAGTATTTGTGCTCAGGAGTAACAGGGGGAAAGCTGTGAAAAGGTGCAGTGTTGACAGTCCTGCCATGAAGATGATGAGCCTGGGAATCTAATTCCCCATGGTTCCTTTCTAGTTTATTTTTTTTAAAGTCTAAAGTATTCTACCCAGTTATCCACCTCTCCATCACTTCTGTTCATTTTGCGTGGGCATGTAGCTTTTTTTTGACCAGAACAGCTGAGTCCCTCCTGCTATTTAAAAGATGACCACTTGCTTTCTTCTTCCTACCTGGACACCAAGAATTAAGCTGACAATTTCTCTGTTTTTAGTGAGTCACTGGAAGAATAATGTGGAGGAGGTCTGGGCTTTTAGGTGTTTTCCGCAAGTGGCTCTGCATGTGAACAGTAATGGTTCTTAATTCTGGCAGTGAATTTTATGGTCTCAATTGCATATTATATGTTGTCTTCAGTCTTTGTGGGCATTTTTCCTGCAGTTGAATTAAAAAATATAAATCTCAAAATTAACAATCCCTTTCTGGAGGTGGTTGAGCATTTATATGCTAAACTATCAGCTTTACAGGGTCTTCCTCATCTTGGTTCTGTAGAGTTGCGGACACTACATTTTTCAGGAAAGCTCATTACGAGCTCATGTTTCATGACAACACTCTCTGTGTAATTAACAGGATCTCTATCAACACCCTTACCATTTCTGTCACTAGCTGCTTCTGAAGATTTATTGAAGGTTCTCGTGATTCAGTGGCAAAGCTAGAGAGAAAGATGTATGACTACATCTGTAAGGCTAAATGTAAGTCCCTTTCCCACAGTACTCTCTTCTGTGTCAAATGCAACGCTCAACTCTCAAGAAAGATCTGCTGTATCTTTTTGGTATTAAATCCTGTGAGTCTGTGGATGGCTTAAAGTTGTTAGTTGTCAGCACATCATGTTACGCCTCCCTAAATGTGTTTTGTATTTGACAGGCTAAAAGTAACTGAGTGTCTGGCATTAGGATGCACTCTTTAGAGAACCGAACACTCTGGATGGTTTTTTGGGTGGGAAAAAGCATTTCTTTTCGTCAGTTCACACTTTATGGTCAGAGTTTTATGGGGAAAGACCTTTCCAGACTGTTATGGTTGCAACATGCAACAAGGTACCTAATTTTTAAGGCCAAGAAAGAGAATACTTTAAGAAAAGCTAACCTAAAGGACTTGGTAAGAGCAGCTGTTTTATATAACCCTTGATAAAATGTCATAGTCCTATGATATATGGAGGAAAAGTGAGTTGACTTCAGATCTTTTCCATTTCTGCATTCAGAGTTGGAGTTCTTCATTATTAGTATTTGTTTATATTATGCTGGAACAATTTTTTGAGAGGAATTGAAGAAATCAAAGGAAAGAGTGTATACTTATTTAATATGACACAGGCAGACATAAAGCAGTTGCAGCTATGAGAGACCAAGCTTCTGCCCTGAAGGATCTGAGTCGGTCTGATGGCAGCGAGAAGTTGGAATAATTTTACTTACTTTTTTTTTTTCCCCAGTGAGGCTTATTGGACATATTCATTGCTATGATAGACTATGCAGGGCTGGACTTTGAAATGGAGGTTAGTGGCACTGATGTGTGGGAGCTGTGGGAGTGTAAGGGAGAGAGTATCCAAGAAGAAGCAGAAGTTGAAAGTGTCATTGTTCCTCTTCTAGCAGTGCATTTGTTTCTTCTCAGGTGCCTTACACTGAGAACTGAATCTTTTTCTTTCCTGTTTGCAGTGAATTCTAGACTAAACTACACTTACTTTTAGCGTGTGAACCCCTCATCATTTCAAGCCCTGAATCTTAGCATCTTGGGATAGATAGCTCTGAGGGTATATATTCTACATAACTGCTGATATGTTTAATTTTTTAAATAAATATAAACCAATCAGCATGTAGAAATTCTGCGTTTAGAAAAAATACATAGACATTTTCTTTAAAGGCAGAATTATTACTCAATGTTGGGATGTTTTGTAGCATATAACAAGTTTTGCAGCTTGTTTTGTCATTTACAGATGTGCCAAGTGAACACATGCTTTTTGGTCTATATGCGGTGAGGTGTATTGGTGTATTGTAGTTGTTGTGATGATGAGTAATAATGCATATATATACCTGCACCCCTCTGAGTTCATCCCCAGCTCTGAGCTTCCTGAAAGAAAGCTGCCTATGCTGAAGCGGATTCCGATTTTTAGCTTTTTTTCAGCATGCTACTTTACCTTCCTCCTTCCTTTGCCCATTTACTTGTATTTGTGCTCATTAATTAATGGTAGGTTGTCCTCTCTCCAGCAGTGTCGCTTTAAACAACACTAGTCTCATCACTGGCTTGACTAGTCATCGAGTGGAAGTATTTCTGGTTTCTTAGCAAGTGAGAATATTTTTGTAAAGTTTTTGGTCTGTGATTTTTTTGAGTGCTATCATCCAAAGAAAAGCCTTTGGCCCTATTTAGAACTTTTCAGATTTGCAGATCCCTGAAATGCCTGGACCTCTGCATAGTGAATTTAAGCCTTTGACTGTGTATTTACTTTTCTTTGTCACTTTTATTAGTTCTTCTCAAAGTAATTTAGAGATGCCCATAAAACAAATCAGTAGCTGTTCTTATAGGCTGTTGGAACCATTTTGCCTGAGGCATTTATTTCTTTTCAGTCTTGCAGGCCGCAAGACCTCTTGGTTTTGGTCTCAAGAGAATTTGTTCCTTTTTACACTGGGAAGCTTGGAAGAGTTGTTTTTGTTTGTTTTTAAACATGGGGCTTTAACAAATATTATCCTACCTTACTACATTTATCTTTTCCAAAGCATTGGCATGCACTTTTAAGCATGGCCTGGAAGCCTTGCGGGATCTTCCTGTCCCCTCACCCTGAAGCCTTGGAATCCTTGTGACCATACCTTGTGGTACCTTGATATATGATTCAAAGAATGAATGGTGCTTTTTCTTTCTTTCTATGTTTCCTTTTTTTTTTTTCCTTGGTTCTACACCTTCATTCCGTTCTAATGAATTCTCAACTTTGGCCAGGCAGGAAAGTTTCTTCTTGCAAACAAATGTTATCCCAGTCATTAACTACAGAACATGACATTACTGGAGGACTGCAGATGCATTGAGAGCTCTCAGGTCTTTTGATGAGCCTGCACCGATGCTTGGCATTAGGTATACCTGATTTCTCAAATAAGGTCTTCTACTCCTAAAAGCCCATAAAGCACCTGTGGTTTTCCACTGGAAGTGGGAGCAGAGATGACAAATGCCCATTACCTAATGTTGGGTTAGATGCTCCCAGCACAGAATAGATGCCCCAGCCATTGTTGTTCCCATGTTTAGCTTTTGGCAGAAGGTGTGGCTGTACTGAGTTACATCTTATCTCTTCTACAGCCTTGAGAACTTGAAACATCTTGCAGTACCAGGAGCTACTGAGAGCTGCGTTCACCAGGAGCACTGCTCTCATGGCTCTCAGAGTGCTGATAAGGGAAAGGAGTGAGCATGGTCTGGGTACCTGGGTAGTTGCCTGTTTGCCAGTCTATAAGTCTCTCATACCTGGAGACTTATTTAATTCCTTTTCTTTGGGAAGGCAACGTGCAGCTAATCCATCACTATATGTTTCAACTACCACTTTCGTGTTAATGCAATGTTTTTAGTGGGAATGTGCACTCTGATGGAGAGCAGTGTCGTTCAAATAGGTGTACTTTGTTTGCTTGTCCAGTTGAGGCTTGTATTTTGTCTATTTAAAAATCAGTCATGAAGATGCTATTGGTTCATCCAGCCACAAGAAACCAGTGTTCAGATGTGGCCACATTCTGTTGAAACACAAGTGGTGTAAATCCTTTTACACTTTAGCTGATGCCCTGAGTTAAACTCAGGTGTGGAGGAAAACTTTAGATCTAGCAGAGATTTACCGTGAGAAACTAGGAGGCAAGATGATGACTTTTGAAAACTCGGGTAAATTGATGCTGTGCTGAGATTTATTGATCCACCTCACAGTAGTATATGAACTTCTTTCTGATGAAGGGTTTATTGATGGTCTGTTCTAATCACCAGTGTTTGGTTCTCCCCATCTTTTGTACTAGCCCAGAGAGACAGCCTTCAGATTTATTTTAACAGTCCCTTATTAAAACCTTGAATTACTTACTTTTCTGTTATTGTGAGGCATGACAACTTTTAAAACTTTCATGTATGAAAAAAGTGAAGAAATATTTGTATTGTGTAAGTTAGATGCTTTTGTAAATGATCAAACCCGTTTTCTTTCCACAGCTATTTGGACATTGGAGAAACAAAGAAAAAACCTGCTGAAGTCAATAATGAGGTAGGATGAAATATTTAAGAAGTAAACCTGCAGTTAATGTTAGTGCCATGCCTGCATTTATGCCTGATTTTTTAATATATGCTAATTTTATTTAATAATAATAATACAATTACCTACCATTCTGAACACATTTTTTCAGTGATTATTACTCTGGTTGCTCTGAGCACAATGCACTCTCTTCTGCTCAGCTTTCTGAATTGCCGCATTCAGTTAAAAACTCAGTGAGGAAAAAATTCCCTGTTGTCTTAATTGGATCTGGTCATAAATCTGAGGGAGACTTTTACATGCAGAAAAGATGGTGGGAATGAGAATTTTGGGAGTTTTGGAACAGCAATTTTTCTTCAAAACTTGGTATTTTCTCTGAAGAAGAAACAGTTTTGCTTGAAAAAAATCACAGTTGAAATGCTTTTCCCAGTCACTGCCATTGTCCATTGTAAACTTATAACTGCATGACTCTGCGTTATTTTTACTGTTTTACCGTGTATGGAGATAGCAGTGATTCCCAATAAACATTTGAATTACAGCTTCTGCCTGAAAAGAAGCATCAGCTCACTTGTTTTTCACTTTTTTTTGCCTTTTGCTGTCATGACACATTTCCAGCAATTTAGCGATTTCCATGGCGGTTGTCTTTGGGCAGTAGAACACCGTGTACTAGATGAACCCTCAAAATTGTCCTAATGACATTTACTTTGATACTCACATACTTCTTATTCAGAGACTATGAAATACAACACCTGCATTTTATAATTGAGCATAACTTTTTTTTTAAATGGGCACACCAACAGGAAGATCAAATTTAAGCTGGAGATTTAATATACTACTACTGTATGCTGATGGATTTTTTTTTCCAGTTTGTTTATTTACACAATTGGGCAGAACATTGTAGTGATGGTTTTGTTGGTTTTGTGTAGCCATGAATGTCTCTGTGTTGTTTTGGGTCTTTTTTACAAAGGAAAGAGACGAATTTTTAAAAATAGAAAAAGTTATTTAAATACTGGTGAGGCAGCAGGGTTATACTCTGTTGCTGACATGCATACAAAACTGAGCAACACACTTTCACATATGCATTATCTAAGCTTTTGGGTTTAGACCTCTAGAATTTTTTCTTATTCCAGTCCTGAGCCTCCTCTGGTCAAGTTTTCTGAATTTTGTTGAAAATAGTTACTTGCTGGGTACACAGACAGCGAAACAAATAGTGATTTAAGTAAGAGATTATAATTGGGGGTGGGCAGGGAGGGAAGAGTTAAAATGTTTGTAGCAGTATTGCACTTGAATCTTCAACACATAAAACATAGTTCTGAACCAAAAAACCCCTCTCTTAGGATGAATTACCAGTCTTTACTCTTTTTTTCTGAATAACTGAATACTTGCATAGCTGAAAAAGAACTTGAGGAAATTGCTTCTAATTATATCTGAAAATGCAGTGGTTTGCCCTGACTATTATGTGTGACTTCCCTTAATAGTATATGGTGTGACTAATTCCATGTGCCCTTTGCTGAGAAGGTAGTTGTCTTTGTGGTAGACTCTTGACAAAATCTCCTGATACTGCTAGTTATGTGTACAACTACTTTAAGGCTAGTTTTAAGGCTAATTATTTTGCTGAAAAATCCTTAGAAGATTCTTGATGTAACAGAAAGTCTGCTGGAGAAGTAGTTGTAGAAGTTGTGAGGTTTTTTTACTTAAAGTTGCATGTTTGGTAAAAGAGGCTTCTATTATTTCTTTTTGGAATCAGTGCTTATTGTATATTATCTTAGCACTTTCAGCCATCTCTCAGGGCTTTGAAGTAACACAGTAGAAATCATCCATTATCTGAGCTTTCTTCTTCCTATTTGACTTATGTTTGTAATCTCCACTGTCTCCCTGTGGAGAACTTAGCTCCTTGTGTTGAGTTTAACTTTGTGATTGATTTATTTGGGGAGAGGAGTCCATAAAAATGAGATGAAAATAGTAATAGTCTACAGATTTTTATGTGAGCTTATATATAACTTACGAATTGTTTTCATGTCCTAATAATTTAGTCCTAGGAATGAAATTCCAAGGGGCTAGTAACAGAATTTTGAATGCCTAAATAAATATATTATGTTAAAATTATATGAGGGTGCAAGTTCTGTCTTTATTTTTTTTTTCAGGCATTCACTTAGAAATCAAAAACCTAGATCTGTTTTAGCACCAGGAGGGGCAGCAGTATTCTCTTTGATTCTGCTGGATTTGCATCAGCCAACAACAACAAAAAAATCATAGTTTTCCGTGGAGTCTTGTAGCATTCTTGTATACAAGCCCTCAAAAGTATTTTGCTTTTATAAGGCGTTATTTTAAATTGATTTTCAAAAATAAAATCCTCCCTGTTCGTTTCATTAGAAGAACAATAAAATCAGTGTATATGTGAATGTCAACATGGCTGAAGAAAGAAATGTATTAGTCCTGCAAACTCAGCAAGAGCTGCTTAGCTACATGCTTAGATACAAGGGTATCAGTCCTGGTTGTATGAAGCACATTTAATTTGGCAAGGGTGATTTACCTTCCCGTCTGATGAGTGTTTCTCAGTACAGGTTTTTCTCCACTAAAACGATTACAAATATCTACTTCCAATTCTGGTTAGTGTAAAGGGAGTCAAAAGGAAGAAAACTTCATGCAGCAACTGTAAATTGTGTATTTGTATACAGCTGTGTGTTTTCTTTTCTGTTAGTTAAACTGCCAAATGCTTGACATCTGTTTTTGGGAGCACTTTAATGTTGTTCTTTGAAGGCAGCATCTCAATTACTTTAAATTTGCATATAACTACAAAATATCTGTCAAACTAAAATTAAGCAAGAGAAAATTGCTGTTCAAAATATGGTGTAAATCCTCTGACAGAACCATCACGCTGTAATAATAGATCTCAAAATTTTAACAGTTGTGTTACTGGTAGGAAAAACAGTAAGAAGATTTCATCCTGACCCAAGCTAAAGCTTTATAACAAACTATTTCTCAGGTGTCTTTCCATCCATCACTTCTTTTGGAAACTGAGCTGCTTTTTTTGCAAGAGAGATCCCTTTTGTATCAAAGATGATCTGCAAGTACAAATACACGTTATGTGTGCTAGTGAGATGATGTGCTTGAGGAATCTAACAATTAATCTCTTGAGAAAATATGGACCAACAGAATTACCATTTGTTTATTATAAGCTTAGTTGTTTTTAAAAGATACTGCATGTTATTTTCTGATTTTAATGTGTAAAATATGGACATTTATATTTCTCTAAGAAGTCTCTGATCTAGAGGATCTCTCCCTGTGCACTCAAAAAGCTGAATTTTACTTGCCATTGGGGCTGGATAAGCTGCTGAAGAATTGATTGAGCTTTTGTATTTGCAAATCCTGTAGGCAGCTATTTGTTTTAAACTCTCTTTGCTTCGCAAAAATGTGTTCAGCTGAAACCTCCTTTCTTCTTTGGCTTCTTATGATCAGCAGTTTTTTGAACACTGTATTAAATGAACTTTGGCATGTCTTATTGTAAAAGCAAGAATTACAGGTGCCTAACAAAAGCAGATGTATTTTAATATTGCGAAACCAGTCTCTTGCAACCGAGAGAAAAAAGAAAGTGTCTGTATGAAACAGCATCTGTTATCAAAAGTCTACAGCAGGCCTGCAGTAAGCTGCTCTATTGACTGTGGACATAGATTTGCCCTTGGTTGATAGCAGATGGATCTTCTTTGGTACTAAAAACATTGAGTTTTTTTGTCTGCACTTCACTTTTTCTCCTGGACTTCTGGGACAAAGTGATTGTTTGGCAATCTCTGACACAAGTATTTTTTGTATTGCTCAAGATTCAGTCATTTGTGTTGCACTTGGATTTTTTAACCAACTTTTTTACTAGAAAAGCATTTATAAAGTTATTTAAGAAAACTTTACTTATATGTTTTACTCTGTGTAAGCCACATCAAGAATTAGCCCTAAACTATACAAGAAGTAAGGATGATGTAAACTCCTTTCCTTAGGTTTACCACTGTTTTCTGTGATGTTTAAGCCATGAAAACATCTTGGTCCACAATTTTATTACCTTTGCCTACTTACAGTGTGTTTATAACATTATTACCCATCAACTGGGGACACTGTAGAGCAGTAGGCATGAAAACTGGTGTCAGAGCTGTCTGATTGCAGGCCAAGTGACTGGTTGAAGCAAGGGTCACTTTACCCCATTCTTTGAGTGCTGGGTTCATTCCAGAGTGCTGTCATTTAGCATGACAAATGGTTGTGTGTGGCTCTTGGACTGTCAGATGGAATGATGCATGCCGGGGGCCCTGGTGTGAGGGATGTAGTAGAGACTCTCTGCCCACTACCCACCAGGTCTTGTTCTACATTTCCAGCTCCAGGTTCTACCAATGTTCAGCCTGGGTACCCTTCTGCAGTTCTGTTGCCTCACATGTAGTAGTTGTGTGTCACATTAATATGTAACATTTTTTCAGTGATTAATCACTTTTTTCACTGTTTTACATAAACTTCTTTTATTGTTCCATAACCCTTTTTCAATTGCAACTTCTTCTTTTATCATGTGGTTTACGCGTGGTCACATTTGTAGAAGGATTTGTAGAATGGAATAATCAGTATTTTTACTAATGATTCTTCAGAGGATTAGTAAAGATTCCTCAAAACGCTTAATAATTACACGGATTTGAATGAATGTTTGAACATTTTGAAAATTTTAAATTTCTTTTTCTGATCCAGTACCTGTCAGTCCTCACATTGGTCGCATTCTGGATGTCATAGACTTGGGCTACAACATGGAATGTACACTTTTGCTGGCTAGGGAGCTTCTTGGAATGTGTCTGTTCCTGTGATGAAGTGTGACTGCGGAGTGAAACTGCGACTGGCACAATGTGTCTTCTACTGGTGGTCTCCAGCTACACTTAGTAGCACTCCTGGTGCAGGGTCTGGTGGACCAGACATGGTTAATAAGCTGATCACAGTATAGGTCAGTTGGCCACTGTGTTCTTGGTGAGATCCTGGGCCAGGAAAGGTGCCCT